TAGATATCGCAGAGATCTCTCTCTGTGAGATCGAGATCGAGATCGCACAGAGAGAGAAAGATCTGAGAGAGAGAGAGATATGAGACAGTTTTTAAAAGAGGATATTTTTGGAATATGAAAAAAAAGAAATGACATTTTTGCAAAACTTGCAAAAAGTGGCATTTTTACAAAGTGGCTTGGGACATGTGGCATATCTCAAAATTTCTCTTTATTTTGACTGATTTCAATATTTGTAAGAAAACACTTTAAAAAATCATTGTATTAATGTGTGTTTTTAACTACTATTACTAATATAGAAGCAATTTACAGTCACGTTTTCATTTGTTTTATGTTTATTTTTTCATTGGTTTGTGGTGCATCGAAATAGATTTGTCTCCCATGAAACCAAACTATAGTGGTTTGATTCATTCTGTTGGAGACACTAACGATTTTGACCTCTTACGATTTTGACCTTAATTCTTTTCGGATATATAATAAAAAAAAAAACGGGAGACGTGGATTTTGAGGCCCAAAAACAAAATAAGCCGATTTGATCAAATTAAGGCCCAAAATGAATATAACTGTTTTCTGGGTACAATATTTTTTCAAGAACGAAAAAGATTTATAAAAAAAAATGAAAATGTGAAAATGAAAAAAACGAAGTAAGAAAAAGAGAAGAAAATTAATGGGAGACGACGGCGAAGGGAAAGAGAAACAAAGACCTTCATTGATATTGTTCCCTTGCAATTTATCCCTCTAAAGATTAGGGTTTGGTTTCGTCTTCTTCTTCTCCAATCTCCACCTATATCTTCTAGGATTTCGTTTACGCTCCGCCGCTGCGTTTTCGTCGGATTCGAGAAGGTTCTTGCTTCTTCCGTCAAAAGCTGTACCAATATCCGTTTTGCTTATCCTTCAAGATCGTGTAAAAACCAGATTTTTTTTTTTCGAAATCAGTGATTTTGTTCTAGGGTTTTTGGTTATCGATTTTGGGTTTGGGATGAGTAGTGCTTTTAGTGAAGAGATTTTGATTGATAAACTCGCCAAGCTCAACAGTACTCAACAATCCATCGAAAGTATCCTTTTTTTTTTTTTAAAACATGTTGTTGTTTGATTACATCTGTGTGTTTTGTATATTGCAATCCTGATTGTTTGGTTCTTGACCCTATTTGGATAAGCTCGTTCACATTGGTGTGTATATTCCAATTCATTGGTGTGTATTTTGTTTGGTCCTTGACTCTCTTTTTGGATTAAGCTTTGTCACAATGGTGTATATTGCATCGTAGTGAAGCTGAGTTGGTGGTTACGACATGGGAGAAGCAGTTTCATAGTACAAAGATTGCACAGAAAGTGCCTCTTTTGTACCTTGCTAACGACATTCTTCAGAACAGTAAGCGTCAGGGTAATGAGTTTGTGCACGAGTTTTGGAAAGTTCTCCCTGGGGCTCTCAAAGTTCTTGATTCCTCGGGAGATGACAGTGGAAAAGGCGTGGTCTCACGATTGGTAATGATTGCTTCGGCACTGGCCTTTTTCTTCTTTCTTTACGTGCTTAATTAGTGTTTCGAATTTGCATGTTTAGTGATTTAGGAAAGTACATGTTTCTTTGGTGCAAGTACTTTTAATGCTTTTGATTCTTTAAATGAAATAGATCTTATGCTCAATCTTGATTGGTTGGGCTGTGTTCCTCAGAAGTTTAGTCATCAATCTGTTTCATTTTGGTATACTGTTTTAGTGCCGGATGTTTACGATTACTCGGTGGATTTGATTGCTTTTTACCTTAATAGGTAAGTGCCGATATATGTTCTTAAGAATTGCCTTTTGCATCGTTTTGTAATACTGCTGAATGCGTGATTCGCTTAGCTTACTTTTAAAAGATTAGTACCGCGTGGAACTTGATCAATAAAAGGTATTGTTTGTCGACTTTCTGTTTTCATGATTACTAGGTTAAGATATGGGAGGAGAGAAGAGTCTTTGGGTCCCGTTTGAAGAGTCTTAAAGATGTAATGCTTGCAGAAGAAGCTCCTCCACCGCTTGATATCAGCAAAAAGCGTTTACGGGGATCCAAATCTGGTAAACGGGATTCAAAATCCTCCAAAACGGTAATTAGAACATTTTCATTCTTTCTCTTATCTTATCATACTTATTTGGTGCAAGGGGGTTTTCTCAGTCTTAATTAGATTTCTTATCTCTTCACTTGCTTTATTTCGCTACCAGAAATCATCAAGTGGAGATGTGACCGAGAAGATAGTATCTGCATTCAATTTGGTGCGTGCAGAGAACTCAAACGAAGAGACAGAGATTAACAAATGCAAGTCTTCAGTTAAACGCGTTAGAAAGATGGAGAAAGATGTTGAAGATGCCTGCTCTACTGGTAAGAAATATTCTCAAGTTGGTTTTAGAAAGAAAGAGTCTTGTTCTCTTAACCATACATCCTTGATTTTTCTTTAGCAAATGACCCGAGGAGAAAAACATTGGCGAAAGAATTGGAAGAAGAAGAAAACATTCTGAGACAATCTGTTGAGAAACTTAAATCTGTTGAAGAGAGTAGAACATCCCTCGTAAATCATCTTAAAGAAGCACTACGTGAACAGGTAAGGTCTTTCGCTCTTGCAAGTTCGACAGTTTGCTTAGACATATCCATTAACTTAGTGAGTTTTGTGTGTCAGGAATCTGAATTGGAGAACCTTCAATCTCAGATACAGGTAATGATTGATTTCTGTTATTTACGCGTAGAACTTAACACTTTGGTTTAGATTTGCCTTTTTAAGAATTAGAAGATTTTCAAAGCAACTGCGGGTTTTGTCGGATTATTGCATTCTCTGTTTGTTTAGATATGAAAATTATGAAACTATAATTCCTTTGGTTTAGTTATTGGTTCTGTTTTTGGGGTACGGTTTCGGATTGGTTAAACCCAAATTGGGCACCCCCTTAAGGCAATGAACTATTTTGCATACTTGATTACAAAAAAATTGCATCCACGAATCAACATTTCTTGTTTGTATTCATCAGGTAGCGCAAGAGCAAACCGAAGAAGCTCAAAGCATGCAGAAACGGCTCAGTGACGAAACACCACCAGTCAACAATAACAACGGAGCATCTGGTCAACCAGCGAAAGTCACGCCTGCCTCAATCGCTGCAATGGCGGAAATGCTAACCTCATCAACAAATTCATCAATGATAATGCATTCCGTTCTGTCTTCATTCGCAGCCGAAGCTACACAGACTTCTGGTTTATCCAAATCAAATAGCTCAGACACAAATGCATTTGCTCCTCCTCCGAATCCTCAGTATCATATGATCCCAAACCCAGCTGCATCGCAACAGTTTTTACCTTACGGATATGGTAACATTCCGTTAATGCCGCCTGGATCGCTACCACCGCCTCCTGGACAGCTGCCGCTGCCGCCGCATATGATGAGTAATCAACCAAACTCAGCTCAGCAACAAGGTCAGAGTTTTCAGCCTCCGGGTATGATGTTCTATGGACCAACAACACACCATTCTTAAGGGTTTATTTTGTAAGAGTCGATTAGTTTTAGTTTTTAGTTAGTTTCTGATCTGACCCACTTTTCTTTGTTTGATGTTGCAGTGTAGAAACGTAATCTTCTATTATTTTTTGTTGTCTTAGAAATCTTTGTACCTTGAGCTGTTTAGTCAAGTTTCTTCTTTTCTTAGTAATTAGACTTTAATGTGTATTTGTTTCAAATGAATTCACATATAACGGATTTTGAACTTTCTGTTTAAGTTCTGTGCTAAAGATAAGAAATGGTTACTCAATGATTCGGGTTAACATTTTATATTACAAAAATGCGCATAACAAATGTGTATATACATCACTCATGCTCTTTTTTTTCAAATTTGGGTGTATATACAAAACAATTTTTTAGAAACCAGAAGAGTTTTGAGTGACCATTCTGTTTCTACCAACTCGGAATCTGGACCGAATCGACCCGTTCGAGTCAATAATAACTCGGTCCCAATCAACCGATCCTTCACCACCACCGTCTTCTTCTTCTTCCTCCGGCA